CCCCCCAGTAGTAGAGTCCGGTCAGGTTACTGCGTCCCCACCGGTTGCTGTGTCCGGTCAGGTTGCTGTGTCCGGTCAGGTTGCTGTGTCCGGTCTAGTTGCTGCGTCTTGCTCGTGTCGGTCTTTCACCCACCGGACCGTCTTGTGGCACCACCGTCTTGGCCACGCGTCGATCCCCCGCCTCCGCACTATGGCTAGTCACCGTCTTGTCTCAGGTCTCCCTCGCGTCTTCCCGTCGCTCCCTCCCTCGCCTGCGCCGCCGTGCACTCCTTGTGTCGTCGGCCGTCTTCGTGCCACTCCGCACTCCTCCTCCCTTCGTCCGGCCACTGCTCCCTTCCAGACACTCCACTTGGATGTCTGGGGCCCTGCACCTACGCAGGGACCTGAGAGGGAGCGCTACTTTCTGGTGGTCGTCGACGACTTCTCCAGGTACACCACGGTGTTTCCTCTCGCGAAGAAGTCCGAGGTGACTTCTACGCTGATCCGGTGGCTTCTAGCCACTGAGGACACTCGTGGCCGTCGTGTCTCCTGTCTCCACTCTGACCGTGGGGGTGAGTTCTTGCCGGATTCTGCGGCGAGCAGGGCATCGTACAGTCCTGGACGCTGCCGGAGTCCCCACAGCAGAATGGGGTTGCTGAGCGCCGCATTGGCTTGGTCATGGACATCGCCCGCACGTCCATGATTCATGCCCGCGCGCCCCATTTTCTGTGGCCCTACGCGGTTCGCTACGCCGCTCACTAGCTGAACCTCCAGCCGCGCGTCTCGCGGCCAGAGGCTTCACCGACCAGTCTTTGGACCGGGTCCCCTGGTGTTGGGTCAGCTTTTCGTGTCTGGGGCTGCCTTGCGCTTGTCCGCGACACCTCTGCGGACGAGCTCTCGGCTCGCGCCGTCCCCTGTGTCTTCCTTGGTTTCCCGGTAGCCTCGGCCGACTGGTCCTTTTACCACCCGCCCCTCCACCAGTTCCTAGACTCCCGTGACGTCCGGTTCGACGAGTCAGTGTCCTACTACACCCGGTACCCCTGTCGAGGTCTCCCGGTTCCCCCTCCCCCCCTTTTCCTCGCACCCTCTCTTCCCCCTGCTCCCGCTCCTCCGGTACCCCTACCCCCAACTGGTCCTGCCCCGTCAGGTGTGTCTCACGCTACCCCTCTACCCTCGGTCGCGCGTCAGGTAGCGTCTCCCTCCCCGCAGTCCTCCTCACAGTCCCCTCAGCAGCCTTCGGTACTTCCGCGACAGGCTACTGTGGACTCGGTTGGTGTTGGAGCTGGAGGTGCAGCCACTGGCGGTACTCGGTCCGGGGGTGCTCGTTTGAGGGGTGCTGGAGCTGGAGGTCCTGGCACTGGAGGTGCTAGTCCTGGGGGTGCTGGAGCTGGAGGTGCTGGCGCAGGTGGCGCTAGCTCTGGGGGTGCTGGAGCTGGAGGTGCTGGCACTGGAGGTGCTAGTTCTGGGGGTGCTGGAGTTGGAGGTCCTGGCACTGGCGGTACTAGTTCTGGGGGTGCTGGAGCTGGAGGTGCTGGCACAGGAGGTGCTGGTTCTGGGGGTGCTGGTCCTGGAGGTGCTGGTTCTGGGGGTGCTGGTGCTGGAGGCGCTGGCACTGGAGGTGCTGGTTCTGAGGAGACTGGAGCTGGAGACACTGGTTCTGCGGAGTCCACTCCGCCTCCCCACCGCCACGACACACGTCTCCAGGCGGCCCGTCGGCGTGAGCGTGAGGAGCAGGTGCTGTTGGAGAGGGAGCGACAGGAGTTGCGGCAGTTGGACCTGCTGGAGCAGCAGCAGCAGCAGCAGCAGCAGCAGCAGCAGCAGCAGCAGCAGCAGCAGCAGCAGCAGCAGCAGCAGCAGCAGCAGCAGCAGCAGCAGCAGCAACAGCAGCAGCAGCAGCAGCAGCAGCCGCAGCAGCAGCAGCAGCCGCAGCAGCAGCAGACACCGCCGCCGCAGCTGCGACCACAGCAGCTCCCTCTGGAGCGGCAGTTGTTCCCACCCGTGAGTGGCCTTCGGGCCCTTGGTCTTCCCTCCTCTCCTCCTGTTCACACTCCGTCCCCTCCAGCGTTTGGTCCCACGTTTCCTCCTCCTGACGCCAGTCCGACGGTCTGGTCTTCTCCTCCACCGCAGTCTCCTCCACCTGGTGTCCCGCACTCTCGTAACCGTCCCTGTCCTCCGCGTGCTCGTCACTCGTCTCCCGTTACCGACCTCCGCACTGCCCTCCTTTGTTCGTCTCTTCGTCGTCCTCCTCCTGAGTCCGTTCTCCCGTCTCCGCCTCAGTCCTCTCTCCCTTTCCCCCCTACTCCTGTCACTGACTACTACCGCTGTTCGTCCTGTTGTCTCTCGTGTTCTCGCCACTCTTGTCACCGACTCTCGTTCCCTCCGTCGTCTGTCTCGGCTCTCACTGCCGCTGTCGCTGAGTTTGCTGCCGCCAGTCGCCTTGACTACACCACCCGTGTGGTGCCAGCTCCTCCCTCCCGTCCTCTGTCCGTCGGGGGTGGGTTTGCCCTTGGCTGTGACGTCCTAGAGGACAGAGAGTCTGAGCTGGAGTACTGGGCAGCCGCTTCTCCCGCTGTGTGTGCCATGCTGCTATCCCCTGAGGGAGACCCCGACGCCCTTGACATACCGACTCCTCGCACTTACCGCGAGGCAGTGTCAGGGGCGTGGGCCTCACAGTGGAAAGCGGCTATGGCCTCGGAGTTAGCGTCTTGGAGATCCACAGGCACCTACGTCGACGCAGTTCCCCCTCCCAGGGCGAACGTAGTCGATGGCATGTGGCTCTTCAAGGTGAAGCGGCCGCCTGGTTCACCGCCTGTGTTCAAGGCGCGCTACGTGGCTAGGGGTTTCAGTCAGCGTGAGGGAGTTGACTTCTTCCAGACCTTCGCCCCGACCCCGAAGATGACTACTCTTCGGGTGTTACTGCACGTAGCAGCACAGCGAGACTACGAGCTGCACTCCCTTGCCTTCTCTACTGCGTTTCTCCAGGGCCGACTACACGAGGAGATCTGGCTGCGCCGCCCTCCTGGCTTCACTGACACCTTCCCACCTGGGACCCAGTGGAGCCTGAGACGGCCAGTCTACGGTCTCCGCCAGTCGCCCCGTGAGTGGCACGACACTCTTCGCTCCACGCTTCGTGACCTTGGGTTTTGTCCTTCCTCTGCCGACGCGTCGCTGTTTGTTCGCACTGGTTCCACTCTTTTCTTTATACTAGTGTACGTCGACGACTTGGTCTTTGCCACAGCAGACAGGGCAGCTCTGGCTCAGGTGAAGTCCGAACTGCAGAAGAGACACACGTGCACTGACCTAGGTGAACTGCAGCGCTACCTTGGCCTGCAGATCACCAGGGACAGAGCCGCTCGCACCATCACACTGACTCAGTCACACATGGTGCAGCAGGTCCTTCGGCGGTTCGACTTCCAGTTCTCCACCACACAGCCCACACCTCTTGCTGTTGACCACAGACTCACTGGCCCCTTTCCCGACGAGCCTTTTGAGTCCAGTGGTCCCTACGCAGAGCTTGTGGGCTGCCTCATGTACCTGATGACTTGTACTCGGCCGGACCTCGCCTTTCCCCTCAGCATACTTTCTCGCTTTGTTGCGACTGGGAGACACCGTCCTGTCCACTGGACAGCTGCTGTGAGGGTGGCGAAGTACCTGGCGACTACATTAGGCATGGGGCTTGTGCTTGGAGGGACTCAGCCAGTGGCGTTGACTGGTCACTGCGACTCTTCCTACACTGACGACGTGGAGACTCAGCGCTCGACTCAGGGTTACTGCTTCAGTCTGGGTGCTGGTGCTGTGTCGTGGAGGTCTACACGGTCGTCGTCTGTGGCTACTTCCAGTGCAGAGATAGATTTACGCTGGTGCCATGGCGGCACAGGAGCTTCGCTGGTTGACCTTCTTGCTCACCGACCTTGGTGAGCGGCCTCGCTCTGCACCGACTTTGTACGCTGACAACAAGGCCATGATCCTCCTGTGTCGAGAGCCTCGACTGGAGAGCAGAGTGAAGCATATTGACGTGAGGTACTTCCTTCTGCGAGAGCTGCAGCGACGCGGCCAGGCACGCCTGGACTTTGTGGCCTCAGAGGCCAACACTGCAGACGTCTTCACCAAGGCCCTGGCGCTTGGTGACCACCACAGGTTTTGTGTGCAGTTGGGGCTTGTTGGGGTAGGCCCTCGGTTGCTGTAGACTTGCTGTTTGCTCTGCTTGTTGTGCTTTGCTATCCTAGTGAACTCTTGAACTGGCCTTGTGGCCGCTTGCTTGTGCTCGGAATTTGTGTGGTGTCCTTGAGATCCACCCTGAGCTTGCTTTGCTTCTTGCATTGACTGGTCTTGTGACCGTTTGTTCACCCTGCTTGCTTTGATGCCCCTCACTTAGCCTATGGGGGTGTGTCAAATGTTATTATAGGTTCTTAGGCTACAGTGAGTAGCACTCTAGGGAGTACAACACTTTTAGGGTTGCTATTTGTATCCCTTGTTTCCCTAGTTCATACATTCCGTTGTTCGCTAACTTTGAGACCCTGATGCATTAACGTGCCTAAAAGTGAATCATAGGCCCTGGTTCCCGCCATCGGCACCCATCAGTGAACGTTACCCGCTCGCGACATTCGCCTCGACCACGACTCCCGCCACTGTTCACGAGGCGACCCAACCTAACGGTTCGGTTGGTAACCCGCGCTCCGGACCTCCGCTTCCGTTGTCGACAACTTCCCCAAACCTCGGCGCTAGGCCCGTAGCGCACCCCAATTTCCCGCATTACCGTTACCATGCTAGCTTCGCTATATAACTTCGCTCATGCTTTCCGCTCAACTGTGTTGTTTTTGCTTCGATAGTGCAACTCTCGCTCGCTCGCTCGATTGCACTCGTAACAACACCACACACTAGAGACTCCCATAAGCCTCCTCCCACCACACCACACTCCACATGCTTGGACACCCGTAAGCTTCCTTAAAAAAAATCACGGGCGACCCTACATATTCAGTGCCTATTTCCTATCTCAGAATTTGATGATAAGTGCGACTGGGTCATTCGGGGCCCTCATGCACCGCGGCCAGGCCTGCAGCTCCAAGCATGCCCTCACTCCTGCCACCAGCAGCAGCTGCCACTGCTGCCATCATGCTGCTGGCCTGCCGTGCCCTGTGCTCCGCCGTGTTGCTTGAGAGGCTGCGCGTGAGGAGAGCGGAAGATGATGTCTGGCACGCAGTAAAGCTCCCACTCCTGCGCATGCCTGCTGAGTCAAACCCCCCTGCCCCAGCACTGCTAAATGCACCACCACCACCACCAGCAGCATTAGCAGTTGAAGGCGTCCCACTGCCAATGCTGGCTGCTCGCACCATGTCGAGCCCACCGTGCGGTGCCATACCCGTCGCTGCTGACGTGGATGCTGACATGGATGCTGACATGGATGCTGATGCGAGCAGCGGCGGGCACTCGTACACCGTGCCAAACGCGAGCTGCTGCTTCAGCAGCTGTGGGGCGGAGTTGAGAGCGGTGGGGTGGAGTGCAAAAGGGGAGGTGAAGGTCTCTAGGGAGGAGAAAGGGGTTGCTGACGAGCGTGGGTTGGGAAATGGGAGGGAGTTTCGGCGGGTGCCACCCGCTGCTGCTGCTGCTGGTCCGCCTGTTCCTGCCCTGGTAGGGGTCTGGCTTTTTCTACCCGCAGTGGTTGCAGCCTTGGTCCTGCCTCCTGAGTTGGCCAGGTTGGTGCTGATGCTGCTCAGTTGGGCTAACTGCTCTTCCAGCCTGCCAAAAGCAAAGTATTAAGTGAACCAAGATAATGTCAGGGATAAGCACTTTGAACAGATAGTGCTCCATTAAACGTGCCCAAATTTGCAGCAACACAGATGCTTGATCTTGAGTAAGCATAAAAACAAGCTTACTTTGCTTTATCCTGGTACAGTGCAATACTGTGCGTCCAGTACGTATCTCGCGACCGCTGTGCGGCCAGCAGCTCCGCCTCGAGATTCACGTTCTCCTGCCGAAGCATCTCCACCGTCTGTTCCACCTCCCCGAGTCGTTCCACCAGCACCCTGCCAACGAGAAGAGAAAACGCAGCCATGACAGATAAGGTAAGTGATAATAGCGAAGCAGATAATAAGCTTACGAACTCAAACTTCCCACACTTTCGCTGTCCAGTCACCAGGACGCCTGCACTCACTGCTCTGCGTTCCCCAGATACATAACCCATCACCCACTCTCACTGATCGCCTGGGACGATGGCAATGGGGGAAAACACGAATTAGACTAGCTCCGGCTGTGTGCGAAGAAACCACTCGGATGAGAGTCCACACCGACTAGCGCCAAATCTTCTACTGGGTTGGAGCTAGACCAACAGCAGAGATCGAATGCAACGAGGATGGGTGGAGCCCACTTATCGTCGGAGAGAAAAAAAGGAGGGTAGGTGTGAGGGGGGAAAGACGGGGGGAGAGGGGTGTGGGTGGAGAGGGGGGAAGAACATCTCTAACATCTATTAGGATTGATCGTGACTGTGACTTACTCCGACTCCATAGCAATCGCGTCGCGATCGAGTATAACGGCCTCCTTCTCCTGCTCCAGCCCCTCCATTCGCTCCTCCGCTCGCTCCACCCGCGCCGCCAGCTGCCTGCTCCGCGCAATCAGAGCGCGTTTCTCGCCGTCGATCTCGACAGCCTCGTCTTCGCGTGCCGCGAGCATCACCGCCTTCGTCTCCCGCTCCTGCTGTAACATTTGCTGCAGCAACGCGGAAGCTTCCCTTTCCCGTCGCAGGCTCTGCTCTGCTGCAATTTTCTGTTCGAAAGGCGTCGCGGGTGGAAAGACGGGGGCGAAAAATGCATGATAAGAGAGGCAGCTAACTCTTTCGTACCGAGGATAAACGGCCGCTCGGGAAGTCCGATGACGAGAAGATGATAGGATATATGTTTGGTGGCGCACAGACAGGAATATGCTGGGCTAACTTCCACGCTTGGATTATGCCGCAATCCCGAGTGTGCTTCCGGCACTCATGTGTAGCGGCGAGATACACGAGCACCACAGCACCGCATGCCGCGGCTGAGCCGTTGAGCACGGAGCACCTCGACAGCGATCAGATTCGCACCGCTTTATACCCTTCCCCCTCGCTCCCGTGCAGCTACTGTTTCAATACGTCAGTTTTGCGGCTATTCCTGACCATACTCTCAGGGCTGCCTTGGGTGCAAACCTTCTGCAAGAGCGCGAGTCACGAGGAATGCTCTTGGGATCTCTTTTTAGTCGACTCAAAAGTTTCACGCGAAACGCACCTGGGATCTCAGCGACGCGAGTTCCTTCTCCTGCTCGCGGCTAGCTCGCTCCAGCTCCTTTACCCTCCGCTTCAGATCCGATGCCTTTTGCGCCGCCTCCGCCTTTTGCGCCTCCTCCGCCTTTTGCGCCTCCGCCGCCTTTTGCGCCTCCCATGCATTTTCCGCCTCCCATGCCTGTTGCGCCTCCGCCGCCTTTTGATCCGCCAATGCCTTTTGCGGTTCCCCCGCGCCCACAGCGTGCTGATGCGCCTCGGAGCTCTTCCGCCACTCGCCCAGGTAAAACTGCCCCGGGTCTCCCGGCAGAGGAATGGCGGTCCCCGCCGGCCACTCGTCGGTTCCAGCGTCGTGACGGTGCCGTTGGCCGGCAGTCGTGACGGCGCCCGCACTCGAGTGCCTTAATGTAGGTAGTCCGCTGGGCCGCGGAATGGCGGAGGGGGCTTCCATGCGGGGGTGGTAGCCCACCGCCATGGTGGCTCGATTGACGAGGGGAGAGCTGTTTGATAACTCAAGCGGACTGATTTATCAGGCGGGTTCCGAGTCGTACTGGTACCAGTAGCGGATAAACTACTGTACGACTAGAAAACTACAGGAGAGAGTATTCTACGCTTTTTATGACCATCACATGGCGCAACATACACCTATTGTAAGGGCCTTGACATGTGCAGCCTTGCGGCACACTCCTTCGAGCGGTCCCTTTCGTACTTGAAACCTGCAGCTATCGTAGACAGGGGGAATGGAAGGAAGTTTTACTCAACAAGCATAAAGAAAGGTAGGACAGAGCAGCCAGGAGACACGTTGTCAGAATTCTGTTTTGGGCATCTGGGATGGATTGGTTGACCAGATCGGTGGGAAGGATGGGGTGGGGAGGGAAGGGAGCTGGTGACAACGACGACCAAGCACGCACGCAGCAATGCTGTTGTGAGGCTTGGTGGGGGTGGGGGTTGAGACCGCGCCGCGCATTGAAACGTGCAGTCCGAGTCGCGAAATTGCCCTTGGTTGGAATCTTGGTCCCTGGAAGCAGATCGTGCAGCCAACCAATGGCAAGCCAAGCCACGCACCCCCGCCGAGCCACAGAGCTCCGATATTGTTTCTCCTCTTATAAAGAAGTTGTCAAAGTGCGTGTGCAATATACCCTCTCGTGAAGTGTAAAGTTTTAACCGAAGGACCGTCCATGGAAGTAGCACTAATTTTTGTCAGCCCCACAAGAAACCTAGCTCAGCCCACCGCAGAACGCGCTGTCTTTGCATCAGCTGCCACCATGACGTCAGCGGTGAACACGCTACCCGACGATCTTTGGCTCACAGTTCTCCGCCTAGGCGTCGCGAGAAACCTCGGCTATCGCGATCTCTGCTGCGTGGCATTAGCCTCCCGCCGATTCCGGCGACTCGGTTCGTGCGACGCGTTGTGGGAATCCGCATGGAATAAATACTGGAGCGGCTTGGATTCCACCGGGAAACAGTCAGAATCAGCACGTGAAGAACTTTTCGGGCCCAGCTGTGCCCGTGCAGAGAGCGTGCAAGGCGCGAGGGAGCAATCGGTAGCAGGCGTAGGGGAAGGGTCGGTGGGCGTGGGCGCATGGCCTGTACAATCCGTAGGGAGCAAGCGGCAAGCAGTAGATGACGCGGCCTTGTCGGCAGGCGGGCTGCGATCGCGAGATGAAGGAAGTCGTTGTGGAGGCGCGGGGAGGAGTGTCCTGGGATCGGAAACGGGAGGGCCGAAAGCGATGGTTTCAGAGAATGTTGATGCTGCGAGTGAAGTTTCGTGGAAGCGACAGTTTCAGAACAGGTGTGTTTTGGTCCGAAGGCTTCCTTCCGCGCGATCCCGCGATTGGTGCGAAGCAGTTTGCCAGACTGCTTGCTGATTGCGACTCTCGGCCTCCTCCCCCACTTCCCCTCTATCTGAACTCGACAAGGAGAGGTAGCGACTGATGCAGGCGCATTAGAGGGAGGTGATGCGGCAGCACCCCCCTGCTTCCCCTTCACGCCTTGTTCGCGCTCACCCCTCCACCAGCCGCTTTCCCCGTTCCTTCCATTTCCTTGGCCAGATTCGAGAAGGAGAGGCGGCGACTGGCGCAGGCGCATCGGAGGGAGGTGATGCGGCAGCAGAGCCACGTGGCAGAGCTGGAGAGGCGCATCCGGGAGGGCGAGGAGGAGAGGGCGCGGGTGCGAGCGGCACTGGCTGGGAGCGTGGAGGAAGCAAAGAGGCTTGAGCGGATCATGTGAGTGGGGATGGGGGAGTGTAGCATGTTGACAGCCGGGCTGTGAGGCAACGGGTGAGAGCGGCTCTGGCAGGGAGCGCGAAGGAGACGAGGATGGGAGTGGGTGGGAGGGGAGTGTGACATGTGGATGGGTTATGAGGGGGTGGAAATGAGGGAGCATGAGGAAGTGAGAGTGTGAGAAGGTTCGCGAGTGTGTTTTTGAGTTGTGTGTGAAGGGGTGCGTTGTAGGGGCGGGCACTGGTGAAGCTGAGACAGTCAGGATGAGAGTGTATGATATCGCCTTCTTGCTGCTGCTGGTCCTCCTCCTCCTCCTCCTCCTCCTCCTCCTCCTCCTCCTCCTCCTCCTCCTCCTCCTCCTCCTCCTCCTCCTCCTCCTCCTCCTCCTCCTCCTCCCCCTCCTCCTCCCCCTCCTCCTCTCCCATTATTGTCTCCCATGCCCGCTTTCCCCTCACAGAGCAGCAGGCAATGCCCCTGAGGAGGCGTGGGAGCCAAGGCACGTGGTGCCGCAGTGGTCTCGACCCTGTTTCCTTCCATCCACACTCTCCCTTCCCTTACAGTACAGAGCATCTGGAAATGCTATTGAGCAAGTGTGGGAGCTAGGGTACGTGGTGCTGTAATGGAAAAAGCTGGTGGAGCAGATGCCAGTGAATGCAGCGGGAAGGCTGGCAGCACTTCATTTACTCCCACCCACGCACGCACGCCGTTTCCCCACAGGGCAGCAGGCAATGCTCCGGAGCAAGTGTGGGAGGCACAGCACGTGGTGCAGCAGCGGCAGCAGCTGGTGGGGCAGACGCCTGTGAATGCAGCGGCAAGGCTGGCAGCACTCCGGCAGGACGCTCTGCTGCTCTCACACACCTTGAGAGGCCTGGAGTCCAGTGCGGTGAGGAGGGTTGCAGTGCGGTGGATGAGAGGGTGTGGATGAGAGGGTGTGGATGAGAGGGTGTGGATGAGAGTGTGTGTTAAATGACACGTGGATGGAGTATTCATGCATACAGCTGCAGTGCAATCCAATGTTCTGCAAGGCGTTATGGCACATGAATTGCACTATGCAAGCTGTGTGCCATGCTCCTCGTCTTCCTCCCCACACGTACCCACTCATCTCTTCTTTCCCGTTCCCCTCACCTGCTCCCCAGTCCACACAACACAACGCAGGCAGCTCTCAGAAGCCCAGAAAGTGCTGCAGGGCCTCTTGTTCCCTCCACCTCACTCTGCTCCTCACCAGCCTTCTTTTCCTCTATCCGTTGCTCGCCCCCCCCCTTCCCTCACCTGCTCCCCAGTGCACACAACGCAGGCAGCTCTCAGAGGCCCAGGCAGTGCTGCAGGGCCTTTTGTTCCGCCCCAAGCCCCTCCCATCTCAGGCTGCTCCGCACCAGCCCTCTCTTCCTCTGCCTCTTGCCCCCTCCTCGTGCAAGAAGAAGCACAAGCAAGGATAGTGCCTAAAGGTTTGGGCATTTTGGAAATGGTGTCCATCGTATTACTCCACTCGCCTTTTCTGCGGCGCTCTGCTGTCCTTGCATTTCTTGAAGCAGGGGCTCAGATACTACACCTGATAAGGGCAAGGGAATTTTTGAGTGTCCAAATGAGGGCTGCATAACTTGTAAATAGCGATTGGTAGTGTTGAGAAAACATATATGTAGAATGTACCTCTATGCTTTGAATTGTCCGAATGATAATTCATATAGTTTGTCGCATCGCATCGCACCCAACCGCTAGTTGTCGCCCTAGAAACCGAGCATCAATCACGCAACGCAAGTGACCGCCTTATTTCGCTCGCTCTGCAGCAATTATGGAGCAGAGATGTGACTCAACCCGTGCCCATGACGCCCGTGAGCTAATCACCTCACGTGTTCCTTCATCGCAGTACCCTAGGGTAACCAGACCCAATTGTAGCCATATCCCAGAGTAGCCTGACACTTGAGTACTCTCTTGCTCACAGAGTCACACCCGAGCAAGTCACACCCGGGTAGAGCAAGCCACACCCGGGTAGAGCAAGTCACACCCGGGTAGAGCAAGCCACGGGGGGGTAGAGCAAGTCACACCCGGGTAGAGCAAGCCACGGGGGGGTAGAGCAAGTCGCACCCGGGTAGAGCAAGTCACACCCGGGTAGAGCAAGTCACGGGGGGGTAGAGCAAGCCACGCCCGGTTAGAGCAAGCCACGCCCGGTTAGAGCAAGCCACGGGGGGGTAGAGCAAGCCACGCCCGCTCGCCATGGCAGAGCGCCTCGTCCCGCTGAAGCGCCTCCGCGCGCTTGCCTCGTCGCAGGCGGCAGGTGGCGGCGGTTCCGCCGCCGACAGACACGGCGCGGGCGGGGGGGACAGTGGCGGAGGCAAGACAGGTGGAAGCGGAAGCGGAAGCGGGGCGGGCGAAAGCGAGCGGCAGGCTAAAGTGGTTTTATCAAATGAGGCTCTTTCCATGGTGCGACGGTCGGTCAGTCAGTCTTGGAAAAAGCGTTGGACGCTTAGACCCGAGGGGTTGACGCGAGGGGTTGACGCGAGGGGTTGACCCGAGGGATTGACGCGGGGGGTTAAGGTGTGTAGCGTGAAGCAGTTGTAGGGTTGAAAGACCTCGGGACTCAACTCCGAGAATTCGTGATTGACGCCCCATTTCTGCCCCTCCCCCTCCCTCCCCCTTCCCCCTCCCCTTCCCCTTCTGCTCTCACCTCCTCAGGCGCGGTGCATGCGCGTTGATTCCATCTCAGACTCTCTTTCCCCCCTTCCTCCCCCTTGATCCCCCTCCTTCCCCCTTGCTCCCCCTTGCTCCCCCTCCCTCCGCCTCCCTCCCCCTTGCTCCCCCTTCCTCCCCCTCCCTCCCCATCCCTCCCCCTTGCTCCCCCTTGCTCCCCGTTGCCCCCCCTTGCTCCCCCATGCCAGGCCCAGCGCATGCTGGCACAGATGGCAGCGCACAGGGGGGAGGGGAGCGACGGTGCAGAGGCAGCAACTGACGCTGGAAGAGGGGATGCTTATAACGGGGATGCTCTTAGAGAGTCGGAGATGACCGGTGGGGATGCTCTGGAGGCGATGGCTCGTCCACCCAGGTATGCACGCTGGTGGTTTAGGGTTACGGGTTGAAGTTTATGGTTTTAGGGTTACGGATACAAGGTTACGGGTATGATTACGGGTTTAGGGTTACTATGTGTTCAGGGTTATGCGTTTGAGGTATGCACTTCGGTGGTTTGGGTTACGGTTTAGGGATACGGGTTTAGGTTATGCGCGTTGGTGGGGGGCGAATGGCCGCGTTGAGGCACCCTTATGGCTTCCTCCACATTACTCTTCCCAGTCATTCCCCCGTCAGCCCACAGTAGGCCTGAACACCCACTCTTCCCCCCAACAGAACCGTTGTTGCCCACAGTGCTCCGTGCCCCCATGCGTTCCACTGGCACAAGAGTTCATGCCTCAGCAGCACCTTGCCCCCTTGTTTCACACTGCTCCTGCCCTTTCCCACCTCCATCTTCCATCGCCTTTCCTCATCCCCTGCCCCCATCCTTTTCCTCATCCGTTCCCCCCATCTCCTTCCTCCATTCCCTCCCCCATCTCAATGCCCCAGCCCCTTTTTCCATCCCCTCTATTCATCCCTTCCCCCACCCTCCTCCCATCCCCTCCCCCATCCCCTCCTTGGGCCCCTCCCCTCAGGCTGGGCCTGGGCGCTCGCTTTGTCTCGCACAGCCAAGCCATGGGCGCTGGGGGCACGGGGGGAGCGGGTGGAGGAGGGGGAGGGGGAGGGGGAAGAGGAGGGGGAGGCAGAGGGGGAGGAAGGGGGGGAGGGGGAGGGTGGAGGGACGGAGTGGCACAGTCAGCTGCGCGGACTGCTGCTGCAGTGGAGGAAAGATTGGGTGCTAGATTGGCTGGGAGGGGGAAGTGGGGGGAAAGGGGGAGACGGGATGAGGACAAAGGGGGAGGAGTGGGAGATGGGGATGGGAGTGACGATGACGGGGAGGAGGAGAGCCGGGCTGGACGGTTTGGGAGGAGGGTCAGCACCGGCAGTAGTGTGGAGGCAGCTGTTGGGAAGAAGCGTAAGAGCAAAGGGTAGATACTACGATTGTGCTCGTACCGCAAGTGGAATTAGCACGATCAATGGACTACCGCACATAAAGAATATGGAAATTGTATTTATGCCAACATGTGCCATTGGTTGGCGGTGTTGTTCTTGCATGGTGCTGTAATTATGAGAACTTCAAGCAAGTACAGATTGTTTGGCTCGTTATGCAAGTTCTATGAGAACTACTTGTCTTCCTTTTTATATAGTTTCTGTTTGTGATGTGAATGTGTCTACTCAGCTGATCCGTTACCCCATACTCACTTCGCCAAGGCTTGGACTCGCATTTCGTCTTACCCATGTTCGCCTGGTCGCGACAAATCCAGCACCACTTTTCCGCATGGAGTGCTGAGCAGAGACATGGACGCCAAGGTATATTTTCTTGTGAAGGCAGCTCTTTTTACGAAAAAAGGATTAGGTCACAGGCTATCAGCGCCTACTTGTAAGGCAGCGTTCATTCGCAGGACTGCGGAAGCGACAAGGGTCGCAAGCTATTCGTACTCTTGCGAACGGAAGCTATACGATCGCTGACTTGTCGTACTCTTGCGAGCATCGCTAGGGGTAATTCATCGGAATAAGTCGACGAACCAAGGCGTTTCAAAACAAGCCGGATAGCCGGTAAGAGTAGCCTGTTAGCCGATACTCGTAGCACCCGTAGCCGGATAGCCGGCAAGATCGCAGGCGGCCGGCAGCATGGCGAGCATGGACTACTACCGCAAGTCGACGCTGGGCAAGTGCCTGACGGACGCGCTCGACGAGCTCGTGTCCAACGGTACCATCACGCCCGACCTCGCTGTCCGCGTTATACTGCAGTTCGATAAGGTGAGGGAAGAGGGGTTCGGATTAGGCACGGACTGGGAAGGCATGGCTGGTTCGCGTCGCAGCGTGTGAGGTAGTAGTAGCCATGCCTCACACGCACCTTGGCGCGTTTTCATTCGCCTCAGAAGGCCCCCAAGGTAGCGGCACCCTGGCGCTCCCAGACTGTTTCAATTGGTTTGTTACTTCGTCTGCCTTCCTGCCTGCAGCCGCGGCTCCATCCCATCCGTTTCGTCGTCCGTCCGTCCAATCGTTTCTACCTTCGCTCGTTCTTCGTTTCCCCCCTTTACCCGTTCGCGCGTTCTCCCGTTCGCCCGTCTGCCAGTTCGCTGTTCGCCCCTTCGTCTGTTCCTCCACCCGTCGCCCCCTCCCTCCATACCTCCCTGCACATATATACCTTTCTCCACCGCACTACACCCCGCTCTCCCAGTCGCTGGTGGAGGCTCTGGAGACCAAAGTGAAGTCTAAAACCAACTTTAAGGTGAGCCAACCTTTCCCTTTGCTCACTGCATGCGGCACACCGCTCACTCGAGCCAAATCTCAAGGAATTTCCGGTCCTGTGAAGGCAGAGAGCGTGGACCCAAAATAACATCACCCTCTGTTTCTGCTTCTGCTTCTCTCTGCTCGCCCACTTCACCTGTTGCATCTCTCCTCGTACCCCATTCTCCACTTGACCCGTGTGGGTTCAGCTCTATTGATCAGTCTCGAGTCTCGAGGTGTTTTTCGGGTCGACTAAGAAATCGCTCTCCTCATTCCCGACTCTCCACCCACTTCACTTTGACCCCTTTGGAGTCATCCCTTTTGATGTGTCTCGAGTCTCGTCTGTTCGGTTCGCTGGCACAGCTACTTGCGCTAGTGTGTGTTGCTCCATTCCCACATCCTTCCTTTCGCCATCCGATTTACTCTTCTACTGCATGCCGCGCTGCCCCCCTGCCCGCCTGCCAGGGCCACTTGCACCGGTACCAATACCTTCTCTCTGTTTCTGTACCGTGTGCCACTGCACTGCACCCTTTTCTACCTACCAGGGCCACTTGCACACATAGTGGTTCTGCGAGAGCCTGCCTGTTGACGTTCACCCTCACAACGCCTTCCCTTTCCCACTCTCCGTCCTCTGTTCTGCGAGAGTCTTTGGACCTTCATTCTGTGCTCTTGTACGGTGTGCCACCGCACTACACCCCTCTCCACCCCTCTTCACCTGCCAGGGCCATTTGCACACGTACCGGTTCTGTGAGAGCGTGTGAACGTTCATTTTGTGTTCTTGTACTGTGTGTCACCGCACTACACCCCTTTCCACCACCTGCCAGGGCCACCTGCACACGTACCGGTTCTGTGAGAGCCTGTGGACGTTCATTCTGACGGACGCGGTGTTCCAGACGGACGGCGAGGTGCAGATGGTGGATCGCGTCAAGATCGTGGCCGCTGACTCCAAGCTCATCGCCAGATAGTGGGGCAGTTTTGTTGTGTGCGAAGTGTGGGAGTGGTGTGGTGAGGATAGGTGCTGCTGGGTGCTGCTGCTTTGTTTGTGGCACCTGGGGTGGACGGCGAGGTGGAGATGGTGGAGAGAGACAAGAACGTGGCGGCCGACTCCAAACTCATCGCCAGATAGCAGGGTGGTTGCGATGCGTGCCGTGGAGAGTGGGTGTGGTATGGTGCGGTGCAGATGGGTGCTGCTGTGTTTGTGATGGGGTGGACGGTGAGGTGCAGATGGTGGATCGAGTCAAGATGGTGGCTGCTGACGCTAAGCTCATCTCCAGATAGCCCAGTGGCGGAGAGTGGTTGTCGTGCGGTGCGGATGGGTGCTGTGCCTTGCGGTTGGGTGCTGCTGTGTGTGAAGTGAAGCATGGGACGGACGGTGAGGTGAAGGTGGTGGATTGCGCCAAGATTGTGGCGGCTGATGCAAAGCTCATCTCCAGCTAGCTCAGATAACGCAGAGTGTGGGTGCGGTGCGGTGCGGATGGGTGCTGCTTTGTTTGTGACAGATGGGGTGGGCAGGGGCGAAGTGCAGATGGTGGAGAGTGGTGAGGAGATTGTGGTCCAGATGATGGTGGAGTAAGCACCACAGCAGACTCGAATGAAGCTCACTTAAGATAGCCTTCAGAATTGGAGCGGTCCGTGCAGTGGTGCTTAGGATGCAAGGTCAAAGGGGTAAGGCACAGAGTGCCTTCTCCCCCCCTGTGCTTGCTCCCCGCCTTAGTGCTAGTCTGGCCTCAGCAAGAGCACGGCGATTCCGACCAAAATTGCATGACAGTAACTATTTAGACGGGCACTGGACAGTATGTGCAGCCTATGTTCACCTTTGGCTGAAACTGGATGTGCATCAAGCAGCACTTGCCCAAAGTGACTTTGAAGGTGATATCACATGCAAGTGTGGTGGTGTTACCGCACGGTATGAGCAAGGAGCGTGCTACAGCCTGTGTATGTGCGCTTGGCGTGTGGTGGTGGTGAGTGCATGCGGTGTGTAGGATTCAGGGCGTGGGCCAGATGGTTCATCACATCACGTACGGTACCGTTAATCAACTTTCCAAATTCCAAGGCTTAAAACCGAAATATAAAACAATGAACCCTGTCCCAGCTTGAAAGGGTGCTCAGAGATCGGGCCAAAGAGCACTGTTCCAAACAGAACGAGTAATAGGTACCCAGCTTCAAAGCCAACCGTGCTCCACCAATATCTCCACTCATTATTATCCCCCTCTACTCTACCAAACAGGAACCTCCTCCATATCAGAGCTCTTTCCCCAGGAACCCTTCACTTCAATCACATTCACTCTATCCACCAGCGATTGCGGCAGCTCCTTCAGCTGCTTACACCCATCCAGGTCCACCTCCCTCAGACAGGACAAACTGCCCAAGTCGCTGGGCAGAGCCCTCAGCGCCTTGCATTCTTGCAGCGAGACTTGGATGAGTGATGGGAGGGAGAATGGAGAAGGCAGAAAACGTAGCTTCGGCAGACGGTTGAGTTTCAGAGAGGAAAGGCGGGTAAAGGAGGAGAGGGGTTCCGGAAGACCAGTAATTTTAGGACAGTTGATGATGCTGAGTTGTATGACGGAGGAGAGGAGAGTGAAGGAAGATGGAAGGTCCTGCAGGCTTTTGCATGAATCTAAACCCAACTCGTTGAGTGCCTTCAGCTGCCCGAGATTCTCGGGCAAGTGAGTCAGCCGAGAAAGGGACTTGAGATCAATCTGCTCCAGTTTGGAAAGCGTAGCAATGGAAGAGGGGAGGGACGTCATGGCATGGCACTTCTCTAGCAGCAGCACTGCCAGCTCTTTCAGGTCGCCTAGGTTCTCTGGAAGCGCAGGGAGGTTGGTGTTGACAATGTGAAGGTGAACCAGAGACGACAGGCTCCCCAACCCAGCCTGCCCAATCGATCCAGGCATCCTGGGAAGCTCAAGCAGAGGGGCATAAGGTTTCGCCTCCTCTTCAGCTTCGGCTTTGGCTGGGGTTTGGGCGAGGGCTGGTGGGGCTATAAGCTGCTTGAGAGATCGGAAGTCATATACGTTCAGATGAAGAAGGCGGTCAAGGGAAAGGAGGGACTCCGGGAGGTAGTGGGATGACTTAAAGACATTTGAGATGATAATAATTGCTACAGATTGCGGAAGGGAGATAGGCGCTACTTGTGGGGGCGGCGAAGGGGAGTTGGAGGAGGGGAATGAAGAAACTGAGTTGGTGCTACATTTGGCGAGTTTTAGGCCAGTGCAGTTTTCGAGCGTGAAATGCTTGAGCCTAGGCAGCAGATGGAGGCCTTCTGGAAGGTTCGTTAGCTTTGGACAGGATGAAATCAAGAGTTCTTAAAGTAGTGGGAGTGGAGTGATGGTGGTGGAAAAGGAGGAGGTGTCAGCACATGAGGTGATAGCAGCTGAGGTGGCAGCCAATGAGGTGACAACAGCTGAGGTGGCAGCAGATGAGGTGACAGCAGCTGAGGTGGCAGCCAATGAGGTGACAACAGCTGAGGTGGCAGCAGATGAGGTGACAGCAGCTGAGGTGGCAGCAACAGGGGAGGTGGCAGCGGCAGAGGAGGTGGCAGTAGCAGAGGAGACGACAGCAGCAGAGGAGGCGGCAGCAGCAGAGGAGGCGGCAGCAGCAGAGGAGGCGGCAGCAGCAGAGGAGGCGGCAGCAGCAGAGGAGGCGGCAGCAGGAGCAGAAGATCCAGAAGCTTGGCCATCAGCACCACCAGCAGAGGGCAAGAAGGACGGGAAGACCTTCAGCCGCTTGCGATTCTCTACTTTCAGGACCTTCAGGCTGCACAGATTGCCCATGCCACTGGGAAGCCCCTCCAGCATCTCACACCCGTCAATGACCAGTTGCTCCAAGCGAGTGAGCAGGCTGAAGGAGGAGGGAAAGCCTCACAGGCAGCAGGATCCGTCCAGATCATACTCCTCGTCTTCGTTGGTGTATGTTTCGGTTGTTTGCACTTTGAGGATTTCCAGGCTCGGCAGCTCCCCGAACCTATCGGGCAGGTACGTCGTGCCGCAGTTTAGCAGCTCTAGTGTACGAAGCTTACACAGCTTCTCAAAACCCAGAGGCAAGTCCGTAAGCGAGGATCCACCATAGATGAGTAGCAATTCTAGTGAAGAGAGGTTGGTGAACGAGGCAGGGAGCTCGAATAGGTCGTAGCATTCGTAAATGGTAAGCTCTTTCAGCTGCCCTAGCTGCCCGAACGAGTCAGGCAGGTGTGAAAGGCCTGTAGAAAACAGCTTCACAGTGACCAAGTTTTGCAGCTGCCCGATGTCTCCGGGCAGGCCTGAAAAAGAGCAGCCGTCAAGAATGAGGCCTGTGAGCGCTCCCATGGCGGATACAGACTCGGGGAGGTTCTCGAGATTGGCGCACTCAACCACTTTCAACTCCTTCATCGCCGTGAGGAACCCCAGGGATTGTGGAAGAGCCATAAGCTGATCAAGGAACTTCAGATTCAGCTGCTGAAGAGCGGAAAACTGACCGATATTGACAGGGAGCGAGGATAGGCGTGAACAATTGAGGATCGTGAGAGTCCGGAGGGCGGGAGATCCCAAGGGATGGCCAGCGGGCAGCTGGCCGAACGAATCGGGAAGAGCGGTGAGAGCAGCCAGATCGTCTAGATGCAGCGTATCCAGGTCGGGCAGCTCGAAGAGATTCTCTGGTAGCTTGGCGAATCGGGGACAATGGTCGATAGAAAGGTGGGAGAGCGCGGGCAATTGACCGATGGACTCCGGAAGAGTAGCGAGGCGTGGCAGATACGAGAGGCTGAGAATCTTGATGTTACGAAGCTGACCTAAATCGCTCGGGAGATGGCCTATAGGACAGCTGCGAAGCGAGAGATGCTCCAGGGAGGTGAGACACTCGAACGCAATAGGCAGATCGCGAAGAGACTGCGACACAATGAGTAACTGCTTCAGTCCCAACAAGCCGCACAGCTCATCTGGTAACCCGGTAACATTACTGAAGCCCATGCTGAGGCGCGAGAGCTGCTGTAAGTGGCTGATGGTAGCTGGGATCTCGCAAACTCCTTTGCCCAGTCGTAGATCCAGATTGACCAATCGGGTGCACGAATCGAATATTTCGGCGACATCAGAGGCCGAGATCGGTGCAAGGCTGGTCGACTGATTCCCGCGGCTACTACTAGGCGGTTGCGTGCTCGATATTGACTGATAGCTAGTTCTACTAGTACCGGACGTCACTGGTTGGCGATTGTACAGGTGCATCGTGAAATGGGTCAGCGACGAGCCGCATCCGTCGCAGATGGATCGCACGAGGTGGCGATCTACGACGTCCGTCGCGAATTCGCCAAGGTGCAGGTGGCAAAGGTTCGGGAATCCCAAGGTGGGTGAGACCAGGAGCGAGGCGAGAGTTCGTGCAGAGAAAAAGCGGTTTCGAGGCACGACGATGGCGGGATGCACGGATCTGGCGACGCGCAGCCATCGCTTGCAGACCAGAGCGTGGCGGAAAGCAGTGAGCGACGAGGCTGTGGCGACAGGAGCCTCGGGTGACCCGAACAAGACGCTCTTGCTCGGCAGGTGCTCGTTCAACGCTTGCTCGATCCTCCTTTGCAATATGGGCTCGTTACGTGGAAGACTGCCGCGGGTATCGAAATTGGTGCCTTTAGAAGCGACGAGAAAAAGAATGGTTTCTAGCAGATCGTCAGAAATATTGGAAAAGGGATCCTCATGGCTGCAAATTCGTTGCCGGCGTTCTGGCTGACTAAGGGCCCATGACTGCTGTGGCATTTCCTCTTGCGCTAGCTCAATGGTACCCATAGGGCCGATGATTTTAGCAGATGTCAAGTACTAAGCAGAAAAAAAACAAGCTCATTACAACCCTGAAGTCATAGCGTGATAGTATAGAGTCCACTCCAGAGTCTAGTGTCTAGGTCCATGGTCTTTTGAAACACCACGATTTTCTTGCTTGCGGAGGGTGTGGTGTGGGTCGAACCTCGCCGCACGTCCACGCTTCAAATGGTGATGCCGAAGCACTGTGGAGACTGGGAGTTTTGAACGTGCTCGTATTGGGTGCGTCATATTTCATTCGTTTACAAAGGTTCAATCTGGTGCGATATGGTATCAAGCGGTAAAAATCAGCTATCGTTACTAACTGTGCTTCACGCTTCGCAGGGTGGTAAAAGAACACCAAACGAAAAACCATGAACCGCCCTTATGGTTACATATATCTCTCTCTCGCCAGTTAAAAATTCGGGACCCCAAGATAATTCCCGCTTTGCCATTGCCACTCGTCCCAAACCACTAACCAATCATACCAAGCCAAACCAGCTGCAAACCAATCATTCAAAGCCAAACGAGTACCAAATAATTCGAAACCAACCAGGTCGCCTTTGACCTTATGACGAGCCTGATTTCTTGCCAAGCCAGACCAGCTGCAACCCATACCACTCAAAGCCAACGAGAACCACACCATTCCAAACCAGCCTGGTCGCCTGCGAACGTATGACGAGCCTGATTTCCCGCCACATCTCGTTGGCACTTTCCCGCCAATATATTGCATTCGGTAGCGTCAGTAGCACTCGGTAGCGCTACACCTATTCCGCGATAATTTCACTAGGGTTATCTTCACACCCGCGCTTCGATGTCATCGGCACAACTTCGAGCCGCAGCTCTGTCGAAGCGTGGTGGGACATTGGTTGATTTCAGGGAGAAATGACGCCTTTTATACTACGATCTGTCTGATGGGCTAGTGTGGGGTCTTCCAAGAAATTTGTCGAGAGGTCAGTTCGAGCTATGCCCAAAGGGAATCCTGACGTGGTGGTTCCACACTGGTTAGAGAAATTTCAGAAGATCACCAAGAAATTTGTCCATGTCAGCACCAACCCATCCTCGACCCGAGTGTGAAATTGCGGGGCACTGTCTAATTTCACACCCCCAAGGGCAAATTTTGGCGCGGTTCGGGGGTTTCAGAGTGTGGAATTATCGGAGGACATGTGTACCTGAGCGCTAGACGACGCTACCGAGTGAGTCAGCAAGCTGACCTTGGGCATAAAATACTAAAACCCATTCGGACTGCATGCCATTCGAGAGCCTCAACCCTAAAATTTTAGGGTTGATGCCTCCCGAATGGCATGCCTTCCGAGTAGGTTTTATTGTTTTTCTTGCCCGCTGACTCATTGCACTGCCTGCTAACGCATGCAGTGCAATATATATTCCAGTCAGATTTTGGTTCCTGTCAAACAAGGCCTTCTCAAGTACTCACTCACAAGCACCAGCACTAGCAACTCAGCTGGCATTTGAGGAGAACATGAAGCAAAAGTCAGCGGAAACATCTCAGCACCCTTTTGTTCAGGCTGCAAACCAGCCGTTTACAGTGACGCAGCAGAAAATGATCGGTGATATTTTTTCTCGCAATTCTGACGACCTTCTGGTTCTGATCCCTTGTTTTGTTGCGTCTAACGGCATAATCTTGACAGCAGTGATTCGCTCGCTAATAACGAAGACGTTCTTCAGAAGGAAATCGAGGATGCATTGCGGAAGCCGCCATGTGAGAGCTAGCGGTTTGGCACGACAAACGTTCCTCCCTCCGAGACTTGCTCCTTAGTCGCGTTCCGCCACGCTCTGGTATGCAAGCTATGGCTGCGCGTCGCCAGCTCCGTGCATCCCGCCATCATCGTGCCTCGCAACCACTTCTCCTCACGAGCTTTCTCCTCCCTCCTCGCTCCACCAAAATCCAGGTTCTTGAATCTTAGTCATATGCATCTCGGCGAGTTCGCATTAGACTCCATGGATAGCCACCTCGTGCGATCCATTTGCACCGGATGCGGCTCGTCCTTGACGCATCTCACGATGCACCTGTACCATCGATGGTTCTCGCGATCCACGCAGCAGCACGGCCGTAGCAGACGCCATGGACAATCGACCAGCCTCGCACCGTCCGATGTCGCCGCTATCTTCGATTCTTGCTCGCGATTAGTCAATCTTCAACTGGACGGCGTTCAGGAGATTCCGACTTCCATCAGCCGTCTGCAGCAGCTCACGAGGCTCAGCGTGAGGTTAAGCGAAGGCGTTACCGGGTTACCTAGTAATTTGGGGCAACTCCAGAATCTGACGTTCATCAGCCTCATGTTTATAGAAGAAGTTTCTGAACTGCCAGATTCGATCTGCGAGCTTTCAAGCCTTTTGCGCCTTTCTCTCAGCCACTGCCCGCAGCTGACCAGGCTGCCCGAAAGCCTTCACCAACTGCCCAAGCTGGACACACTGGAGCTGAATGGACCGATGGCATTGGCCGCATTACCCGAGAATATCGGCCATCTGGCAGCTCTACACGAATTATACATTAACATATGCTCGCGACTGACGCACCTGCCAGGCTCCCTATCTGACAGCCAGACTCTTCGTCGCCTCACAGTCGACAACTGCATTGACATGTCCTCGTTACCCAAAGGCATCGGCCAGATTGCTACTCTCCGGTACCTGCACCTTGATTCTATCGATGAACTCAATGTTCTGCCGGATTTCCTTGGCCTGCTCTCTGGTCTGAAGGAGCTAAAAATCGTTGACTGCTGTGACTTGGAGGGTTTCCCGGAGTCTGTTTCGGCCATGGGGTCCCTGACCATTCTCGTTCTTGACGGCTGTGCTGTTAGCGCACTGCTTGAAGACATTGGGCAGCTTCAGAACTTGACTATTAGAAGCTGTCTTGCTCTGGACTCATGGATCTGCCCGAGTCTTTCGGGCAGCTTGGGAAGCAGAGGGAGCTGATTCTGGATGCGTGCTACGACCTGGATGAACTCCCAGCTTCCTTCTCCAACCTCTCTTCTCTGGAAACGCTGGAAATCTATGGTGCGCCCTATCTTGAAGAGTTGCCTCCGGGGTTTGAGAAGCTGCCGCAGCTGAGTAGATTGGAGCTGTTTAACTGCGCCATTCGGGAACTTCCAGACGAGTTTGGAGGCTTGGGGAACTTGAAAGTACTTAAGATCGGTACCAGGGATACTTACACCAGGAGAGGGTTCGATGTTGACATTTTTTTAACTTCTGGTCCCAGGAATCCGGAAGCCGAGCCTGTTTCCGAGTCCGACTTGTTGGGTGATTCACCTTGCACGACATCCTGCCATCTGATTGTACGCGCTATGAATTGTGTGTTCGTGTGTTTGTTTGCTTTCACAAATTTTGCTTGATGCAATTGCAGGTACTTGCGCAATGTGCGCTTCGGCACAACATTGTACGCGCTATGAACAGTGCAAGCAGAAAGGACGAGCTCGCAAAGGAACCCAAGATGGAAGCTTTGCGGTTCGGTTCATTTGAATGCGCAGATTCAGTTTTATCCAACTCAGAATTGTACTGTTTTGTTTGGATATCTATAGTGTGCTAGGGCAGGCACTATAGGGGTACAATTAGGTGAATTGGATGTTGTTTGTCTGTATCTGCATGCTACAGGGCCAGGGGAAACCAGCGGAACCAGCTTGTCTGGTTGCACTAGGACGAAATAGGTTCAGTTTTCCAGAACCTGAACCTGGTTGGTTCTATTCCAGGTTGGAACAACAGAACCTAAGGTGGTTTACCAACCTCCCACCTGCTGTTTTGTCAAGCCAGGGTGGTTATGTTGCTTGGAATTATTTGAGATCATCCCTGGTTGTTCCCAGGTTGATTCCCAAGGTCCTTGCTGGCTCTAGCTTTATAATCCTTCCCTGTTTGTAACCTGGATATAGTAAAATTGATTCAAGCGAATTCCTTCTTGCTGGAATTTCGTATCTACGCGGTTCGACGGCGGAATGCTACCCGAGTCAACGCTAGTACGCTAGTACTACGACGCTAGGCAAACGCTGTCCGAGCCATAACTCTGCAAAGGCAGAACTTTTCGCGAGGCAACTTGTCTTATTTTAAAGCTCCTGGTGTGAGCTTCGATATAGCGAATTCTCAGCTTAATCCGATCGACGGTCTGCGCGATACGCTGCGCGACGTTCAAGGTACTCTTGCTATTTGATTGCGTTCTTCTTATTCCTCTCTCTACAAAC